GGGGATCCCCCAGCCAACGAAGATGCTTTCCGGGCTGACCCAGCTCTCGAAGTCGTCTCCGAGGGCACCCCTGTGGGTGCAGATGAAACCGAGGCCCCTCCAGCCAACGAAGATCCTGCTGAGCCTGTCCCAGCCAACATGGAGGCCAGTGAGGCAGTTCCTGGCACTGTGGAAGCTGATAGGGCTGCCCCTGCCCCCCAGGAGAGCTCCAAGATCTTCCCTGCCAGTCACGAAGATAAACATGCTCCCATCTCTGTGGGCCTAGGTCAGGCAAGACCCTCAGAGGCCCCTGGGGGTCCCATTCCTGCCCAGATGGGCCGAGTTCCCAGGGTGGGCCCAGGGGGTCCTGGCTATGAGCCAGAGGGCCTAGCCCAGGCTGGAGACCAGGAGGCCAGAGGGCCCCCTGAGGAGGGGCTGGAGCCAATCCCAGAGGAGTCGGGAAATGAGGATGGGGCTGGGGAGACGATCCCCCCCAAGTCCTCCTCAGGCTAATAGGCTCAGAAGGCCCAGGGGCCCCCTCTCCTCTCAGGCAGCAGAGCTCTGGAGGCAGGGGGAGGCCATGCCGGGGCAGCAGCCTCACCCCATGTGGGGGGGGCAGGGCCGAGGGAGCAGCCCACTCAGCCCAAACAAATTCCTAGGACCCCACCTCCCCAAGGCACCCTAGCCACCACTATGAGCCCTTCCAAGTGACCAAGATGACCACACTTGACACCACATGGGGTGGGGAAAGGTGCCCCCCCCAACCCATGGCAGCACCATACCTGGCCCCAGCCCCAGTCCCAATCCATGCCAACTCAGGCAGCCAGTCTGGGAAGCACCCCTGAGTGGCTGACCCTAGCCTAGGTGAGGAGCACCCAGAGCCATCTGCCACCTACAGTGGACTGGGAGACGTTAGGGACCGCCTCAAGGGTGCCAGCCTCTTGGGTCGCCCAAGAGGGAGACCCTCATGTACATCCCCCAGGGCACGACACTCCATGTTCTGGGAAACCCGCTTGTGTCTCTCTAGGGCCCTTATGACCCACGTGTCACGTTACTCCCCCACCCCACTAGGTCCCATTCCTGTGCAGAGCCTTGAGGTGTGCAGGAGCCCGCGGTGGGTGTCCTGGCCCACCGGGGCAGCCACCCCCCAGCCCGGGGGCCTGCCGTGAGCTTCGGTGGCGACTGGGGCTCTGCCTGCTCTCTCCCAGTGTTGTGAGCTCCACCGCTGCTTTCTCGGTGTAGATTCAAGCCGGCCGCTGCTTGTTCTCGTGGAGATGTGTGTGTGTGCTTCTCTGAGCAGCTGTCCCCAGCCCCAGCCCCGAGATCCCCAGCCCAGTTCCAGGAGACGGCCGGAAGGATGCCCGAGGGCACGGCTGCTGCTCGCCCCATGACCTCGGGAAGGAGGAACCGACCAAGGACCGAGGTGGCCAGCGGGAGTCTCCACGGGAACCGTGCTCTGATGTGCCACCCCGTTGTTTCTTGTGACTCCGTGTCCCGGGCTTGGCCGAGTGTCCCCTGCTGCGTTTTCCACCTTCCTGGGACTGTCCTGTGCAGGCCTTAGGGTGGCACCAGGCCCCAGCATGTCAGCCAGAGGGGAGGGTGCCCTGGGGTGAGGGGATGTGGCCAGTTTCTATTGTCCTGGCCAGAGGTTGATCGTGGGGCCCCCAGGAAGGGAGGCAGGAGGGCCACAGTGTTGGAGGAAGCAGAGACACCTCGTTTGGGACCCCAAGAGGAGGGGGGCATAACCTATGGGCTCTAGTGCTGTTAGATGTTCCTTTCTCTGTTGTCATTCCCTCTTTGATGGTTTCAGTAAATGTTTTCTTCAATAAAGTTCATTGCATGTTTCAGCTGAGTCTCGCCTCTGCTGTGGGCAATATAAGGAAGGGTTTGCTGGTTTGCTGGGGTTGGGGGAGGGAGCCAGAGAGACGATTTTTGTCCAGTACCTATGGGAGACTTTTCCAGCGAGAGGTTATGTGAGGCACTTGGATGGGAAGACTAGGATATGATCAGGACCTTTGTTCTATTTTATAGGTGGATTGTAAAATTTTGGGGTTCCATTGACCCTCATCTTGGGATGGTCCTGTCCTCTTTCCCTTTTGAAACTGAGTGGGAGTAATCATGGTTTTCTTCTTTACTAAGTTAAAGGGGCCGCTGACATCCAGTTCCTGGGATTGTACATTGCTTAAGGTGTGCAGTGAATGGAGTGGGGCCATGCATCAAAGAGCTGTCATAGCTCCAACTCCCATAGCATCCTCGTTGAGAAAGTCAGTATTAAAAAGTGATAGGTTTTTGAAGAACCCTGAATGTATTTTGTTATTCTAAGCGTGAAACTTCTCATGGAACAACATTACCAACACTTACTGAGCAACTGAAAAAATCTAGACACTTGGGTTTCTGGGAGAATGGGCATATTTTCCTACCGCCTCCTCTTGCTAACCGGGTTGGTGTCAAGGAAAAAAAAGATGAGGCTACTTAGATGGACAATGAAGGGGGATGCACGATAGCTGGGGGAGGGGAGGGGTCTGCTCTCTGAAGGGGTCATGTTTTGGGGTGGGGGTAGTTGGGTTCACACTAAGGGCGGTGGGAAGCGGTTGCACCACTTAGGTGGGCCCAATGGACACTGCTCACTTCCTCTGTCCTGGGAAGCTGCCACTTGAGGCTGAGGCTGGAAGGAGCAGAAAATGCCTGGTTGGCATTTTCCCAGCCTCCCCTGAAGTTAGGGCCTGGACACATGACCAGCACCCATCGGTCAGATGACTCTGGGGCCAGAGATGGGAACTAGCAGGGGCCACATAGATTGCACTTGGGTGCGCTGCTGACAGCAGGGGCGTCGAGACTTGTTTCCTGAGGAGCAGCAGGGCTGTGGCTCTCATATTGCCGCTGTAAGTTGGAGCGTCTGTGCCCAGTTGTGGGACGGAGCTGTAGCAGTTCTTGGTACCTGCCCAGGGCAGTGTGATTCAGACCCTTGCTCCTATCTGCAAGGCCTCCAAGCCTGGCTCTCCAGCCCTCCCCAAATACCCATGAGACCTGTCACTCTTTAGCTAATTTCCTTTGAGCTTCCATCAGCGGCGTGAGATGTGATTGTTAAGGACACGTGGTGCAGGAGCCTGCAAATGACACTTGCTGAAAGAGCTCCCACCCTCCGCACAGGAAAGGACGTTGCTGCTGCTGCTCCTGCTGGGCGGCTGGGAGCTGGGAAGGCCATGTCCATGCCCTCCAGGGCCGGTTGGGGGAAAGCAGGCCAGGGGAGCCTAAGGTTTTGGCCCCGGGTTATGGGGCACTGTAGGTGGGCCTTTGCCTCTTGTATTTTGGAACTGGGTGCTATAGCTGAAGTCTGAGGGAGCATCAGTCTGGTGGAGAGAGGGGAGCCCCCAATCTGGGGTCGGCAGCAGGGCGCATGCCTGAAAACCCTTCCCAGGCCCAAGTGAAGTTTGCGTGTGAATTGGAAGAACATACTGGTTGACTCCATCCAGCCAAGTGAGCAGGCTGCTGGGGGAGCCCTTGTTCCCGGTTCCCCAGAGCTTCCGGTGCTTTACTCGTGTCTCAGATGGGGTGGGTCAGAGACACCCTCGCAGGCAGACCTCCATAACACTGTTCACGTTTCCTTCTTGGTCTCCTTCCTGTGCCCTCTGCCTGGCCACGGTGCAAGTCCACGTACATCCAGCCCCTTTCTGTCCTTGCCTGTACCCGGGGGCAGCTGGTGGACCCCTGAGGAGTGGAGAGCTGCTCCACCCCAGCAGTCACACGGTTTCCAGTGCGTGGGGTCGGATCCAGGGCTGATGGCTACGGGGTGGAGGTTGAGAGTGAGGACTGCCCTCCCTGAAGCCCAGTGCAGATGCGACTGATACCCACACCTGGCCCCATGCCTATCCCGGTCCCAGCCCGTTTCCTATCTGTAGAGGAGGTGACTGTATTCAACAAAAGACAACTAGTACCCCAGTATGGAGTGCCCTGAACGATGAAAAAGAGAGAAGCCTGCTGGCTGCCTGTGGGGGGGGGACTTTTTGCCTGCCCCTTGGAGGGACTCAGGAACTGGCCTTGAGCCGCTCCCCAACAGGGGCTTCATGTGGGGGCCCGAGTCTTGCTCTGCCAACACATTCTGATGGCCTCACAGGGCTTCAGGGGACAAGTCCCCTGGAGTAGGGCTCCAGAGACTCTTCTAGAAGCTAGGTCCCCAAGGAGCCAACTTATTTCTTCTGGGTAAGTGGGGGATCCGGGCTCAGGGTGGCCTCAAGGGAGCGTTTGGTGAACCCATGCCCCCGTGGCCACCTTCTGGGCCCCAGAACTCAATCTTCTCCAAGGTTTAGGGCTGGGGAGGCAGTGCAAGTCTGTTCCCATTAGGACCCGCTTCCATCATCTGGTGCATTCTGGTGCATTCCAAATGTGCTGGGATGGTTGTGGACTGGGGAAGCTGGCCAAGGGGGTCGCATCAGGAACTCGAGCTTGAGCGGGCTCCAGCACTGCTGCAGGGGCAGCACTTCCAGGATGTTCTCTCCACGTGGCTGGGCCCCGGGGCTGTTTCCCCTCGGTGATCCTGTCTCCCAGTCCTGCCCACCAGCACGCACAGAGACAAGTGCCCACAGGGCTGTGGGGGGGCTCAGTGAGCCAAAGGCGTGTGTGTTTCTGAAACACAAAGTGGATGACCCCCCACCATGTAGACAGGTGGTGGAGAGGGGTGGAGGAAGCAGGGAGGCACCCCCAGATGTGGGCTAAGCTACAACTAGTTCTTCCAGAATTCCTTGCCCTTTATGGTCCCAAGTTAGGATTGGCTACAGGAGGAATTTGCACAAAAAGTGGAAGAGAGAAATGAAGCAAGGGTCATTTACAAACATGCTTGGAACGTCAGTGTAGCACGGTGGTGTTGACCTGCTGCTGCCTCCGGATCGCCTCCTACCACTTCTCCAAGTGCTCGGCCAGGTGTGAGGGTGGCTCCGTGGGGTGCGGCACTCACCTCCTGCAGGTCATCTGCCTAGTCTGGGTGTGACGTGGTGGGACACAGATGCGGCTTCCACTTCGATCTTACACCACCCCCCACCCCGCTTCTCACCATCTTCACTTCCTTCATGCCAGCTCTGCTGAGATCAGGCCCCAAAGGAGCAGATCCCCTCACTGAGGGGGGTGTTGTACCCCACGGAACAACATCTGTAGCCCTTAGGAAGTGAGTTCTGATTTCGAAGGCACCTTAGCCGGCAGGCACACCACAGCCTGGGCTCCCACCAGGCCCTCCTCCACCCTGCCGCAGAGATCTCCCTGCCTGGGGCTGTCCTGCCCTAGCTGCCACCCCCCCCGCCCCCGCCCATGGCCACAGGCTCCTTGTTGCCCCTTGCTCCAGTCTGCCCTCCTGGGGCGTCTTCGAGCTGCTGGAAGCCAGGGCCCCCTGCCATGCAGTCCCTATTGCTGTTGCCTCTCGGGGGTTACTTCAGGCCACATTCTCTTTAGCTTCTTCCCAAGTGAGTGAGAAGTTCCACGAACTAACACCCTGCCGGGTTATGGTTTACGAACAGCTCAGACTC